TCCGACCCAGTTGGTGTTCAGGTTTATGCTTGGCTGATGAAGGCAAATAAGCTCGAAACAGTTCTGTATAAAGTTACCCGACAAACGCTGTCATCCCCCCTCTCTGTTATATATATAACCATGTGAAAATATGGTTTTCACTTTGCAGATTGACATTTTTCGCGAGGGTTCTGAAACTCAACCTCACGATAGAGGAGGGATTACCATATTAGTAAAAAAAACAGAAAGATACACCATTCCTCATAATTATTCCTCAAGTCTGGTTAGAAACATGTCTGTTTGAGCCTCAATTGGCGCAGTTTGCAAATATTTTAACTGACCTGTTGCATTTGAAACAAGAACTCCGAAGCTTATGTATATTAATTGCTTTTAGAGGGCTGTTCTGCGATATAACGCGGACTATGTAGGCGAAGGCTGGAACGTCGATGTTTTGTCGGCCGCTCTCCAACACCGTCCTGAGTTTGGGCCTCTGATGAAGAAGATCGCGGATCTAGCCCTCAAGCTTCCCTACCTTATAATGCAGGTACGTCTGTAATTTATGCTGCGCTGACATTACTCTAAACTATAACGCGGCTAAACCTGAATGAATGCATTCTTTGGTAGATAAAGAAGTAGAAGACGGTGCGATCACCGGAATCATACTTTTACTTGTCTGAGTTTGCGGCCTCTTTCTGGATTCCGTTATGCGAACTTCCGACAGCGAAATCAAAACAACGGTCTATAGGACACAACACAGCTTCTCAAGTTTCATAGTAACCATCCAGCAGCTCACCAAAGAAGCTGCATTAAAACACTTCAAAAGAATCCAGAGTCATTGCAGTAACCCCGAAGTAAAAGCACGTAAGGCATGATATCTCCGCGACCAAGTTATGCGGAATGGCTATCAGACGGCCTTCATAAGCCGATGCCTACGTTCTCGCCCTCCGAAGATCCAACCAGGACCAATCCGTACGATATGGCATGCGCTGCCATACATCAAGGAAGTATCGGAAGCGACCGAACGCATTGCTGCGGGACTAGGCGTCGAAATTGCACACCGTCCCAAAGCTACCATGCGCAGACGGATCATGCGAATCAAGGACCGCTTAAATCTCACTGAGCAGTCTGGCGCCGTGTATCGCATACCATGTTTAAACTGTCCCCGAAACTACACGGAGCAGACAGGCCGTATGCTTAGTTCGCGCATAAACGAACATAAGCTGGCGGTACGACAGGGTGACGAATCATCGCAAGTGGCCGCCCATACCTATGAGACCGGTTACGAGTTCAATTTCGCAGTTGCGAGGGTAATCGCGCACGCCAGCAACAAAACAGGCCGCGAATTGATTGAAGCCTGGGTCTCGAATGAGAACTTAATCAATCGATTCATCGATCTGGCTCCCGAGTACATCGCTCTGCGCAGGCATCTCCGGACTGATGGCACTGGTAGTTGACTGTTCCTCCCCCCTCTCTCCTTTCCTACCTCCGCACCATAACGATTGATTGGCCCCTGCGTCCTATAACTGTTGCTTGTCGTTCCTTTACGTCTTTCATCTCTGATGATGGACTCCAGAAAGAGCACGAAAGCCCAAACCAGTAAAAGTATGATTGCGGTTATCGCAACGCTCTCTTCTTCTCTATCTACACAAATACCTGGGATGCGAACAGTTGCCTCAATTTGCACATTCTTTGGTGTTTTTTCATTAAAAGTCTAAATGGCGTGCTTTTCCCCGTAGTTTTATATTAACTTATAGTAACGTAGATTTATATTAGGGCGCCAAATAGCTAGTTTAGGGTAGGTACGCGCGTAAATAAGCCAAACGGACTTTATCGAGCAGTTATTCTTCGCCATCCCGTTCTGGCCCGATAGTCAGTATTTGGAAACGCTCGCTAGCGTCAGTTTCTAAGGAAAGCTATGGCTGATTCGGTGACTTTCGTTTTAAAGCTTTCAATGGATAAACGAAACCTGTGGACAACACGGCTTCCCCTCTCCCTCCCCCCATCGCTTCTGATCGTCTCTTCACCTCTTAATGGCTAAAAAGTATCTGCGTCATAGTTTTTTTGTGCCCGTCACC